GGAGCCACGACAGTGTATTGGTAACCAGAGGTATACTCTTGTTTAGGCAGTTCGATTTGAATCCATAATTGAGCTGTCACGGACCGGACCCGATGGGAGCGGGTCGATCTGGCTAGCGTGCAAGTGCGCGCACGGATCGTCGAGGGTGGCCCGCTAAAAAGAATACTTCTGCTATTCGCTACCGGGATATTGTACCGTTATAAAATGAAAATATTTACTGCGCTCGTAACCAAGGATTTCCCGAAGTAATGGATGGCCTATGATGAAATGAAAAGGAAAACGATCCCACATCAGCGTGCAGATGGGATGATGTCGTAAACAGGCCACAGCTATGACATAAAATAGACCATTCATATACCACAAATTGTCTATATTTCCCTTGTAATGAGCTGCTAGTACACTTCCACCTGCGCGTCCCTGCGCTTCTCCGAGTACTAAGGGTTGGACGAACGCAGAGGACGGTGCTGCATAGAATTAGAGCTTATTCTTTGCGCGGATTCTTGGTTGGCTGAGTAGGGATTTAGTGAGGTTATCGATATAGCAGCAACAGTTATCACTCACTGAGCCCAAGCCTGAAACGCCCTTGGTCCCTCTATCGGTTTCCATTTCTTGTGCTGACCGTTTCACAGGTGTAGATCGCTCTTATGATGATTCCGCCTTATACGATGTCGTAGTGCCTCCTACCATTCCGGGGCGCTCACTGCACGCCACTCTTCACTTTGCTCAAGGAGCATGAATTCTTGGTCCGCATTCTCGGCCAAAAAAATTGATTATCAGCCTTTGTAAGGCCTCATGGAAGTATTCTGGCTCTTTCTTCAGCTCATACTAGGAGTAGTCAGGATCGGCGATAAACTGCTCAGCCATTTGGCTCAAAAGGCCGGGAAGTGACGAGTAGCCAGGGTGTAGGTATGCTGGTAGGAAATCTGAGATGAAGTGAAGGTCGCGACGATCATCAACGTCGACAAGGCACCCCAAATCATTGTGCCCCAATATCTTTTTGAACCGTTTATCGACTGCAGCCTCCCATTCAGGCGGGTGGTGTGGCTGAGCGGTCATGTACCAGAATAGCAGAGCCCAGAATAAAGACTCGGCTTCATACCGTAAATGGTGCAAACCATATTCCAGTTCTCTGCTTTCTGTAATCAGGATGATCTCGGGTTCATTTGGAGGGAACTTTCTCAAGCGATCAGGAAATAGACGTTGATAGTGTTCGGCAAATTTCTGGGACACTTGAGGCATGGCTGGACAATGGTATGATCCTTTGGGGAGACGCAGTTCATGCAGCCTACGCGCCATAAAGATCGGGCTGCCCTAGTGAATCAGTTACTTTCTAGGAGCAATACTTTTGTCACAACCCTTACTGCACGTTGCTTATGTTGTAAACTTGGACTAGCAGCAGTAAGATCTCCATTGTCAAAATCAATAGCAAGGGTTTTTGTTTCCAGACGCCGCCGTTTGGAGTGCCTATATAGGTATCCGGATAAGTCAAGAAAGTATGGATCCATGGTATCACTTACTCAGAAGAAATATTATCTCCCCAAGCAGTTTCATCAAGTAGATAGTCTGAAAAACACATATCCTCTAAATCATGATCCAGTACATCTTCATATTTTTCCAGCTCCTTCCGTGCCAAGATATTGTTGATGCTTATATCGCGATGAAGGACGTGATGGCACTCGAATAGTTTACGGGACACTTAACAGAGGGAAGTCAACTGCCGGAAGAGCAGCTACTATCAGCTTACATAACTCACCTTCAAGAGCATCAAAGATTATTGTTAGTATATCCCTAGGGGTTTTGACGCTTAGAAGGGGGTCTCCTTCTCCTTTAAGTCATAGTCGTATCTTGTTCGAAAGCATTGTCGGAGCCAACAGCAGCGAAGCGGTGGGGTCGAATCCTCTCCACCCACTGCAATGACACCCTCAGTAAAGGAATTCACCAATGACTAGTGACAAACCTTCATTAAAATCTTCAAGACCCATTCTGTATTCTGGCTTTCCTCTGTTCCTTCCTCACCAGCCAACAAAAAGACTTGATGGGATGCAGCCGTGGTCGCGTAAATTGTATAGACGCTCTGCCTTTTTCTCGTCTCCCCACCATCAAAGTTATTGTTATATTCATCTCTTTCTGCAGTAACTCTTCTTGTTTCCGCCATACCCACATAGCCCTTTGGGGGATAATTTTCTTCGTGACCACACTCCTCGATAATACGAGCTTCAATGCATTTGGATCAAGAAGTTTGATGAAAGTCTTCCACGCATTGCTCTCCATGAGTGTTGGTACTAGACCAGCGGAGCGCACCAAATCTTACACCGCTATTAGTAGCCCCGCCTTATTTAAATTAGAACGGATATCTTTGAGTAGCAAATAGAGGATAGTTGTTTCGACTTGCATTTGCGTGACGGCACATACCAAGTGGTTGACCATTCTCTTGGTTCCTGCCACTTTTATATCTTTGTACCAGGCGTCGATCGCACCTAGCCAATATTGGTCCAATAGTCGACAAATTTTCGATACTAAATGGGTGAATCTATCTATAAAGCTCTCACATATCTTTAAAATTCATAATATGCTGATATTCTAATGTCCCACTTCAGGTATTCCAAAGGTATGTAGGCGTATGGCCGGCGTCTACTGGACTGTTTTTGAGATGACTCACGCCGACTTTACACTTAATTTCACCACTTGGGATCCTAGTTTTTCCGATGGATTTCGTACGTCCTTTTGCTAACTCCTTGTTATGGGCAAGGTCTTGACTCGTGTTTGACATACGCACCTCACAATTCAATCTTTTATCTTGTATCATTCTACGACCAATTAATTCGCATGGATGGACTTCACGAACGCATGTATTCTACGCAATGCCAAACGTATGGTCGTTAAACCAACCACACCGGTTCGAATAAAGTGAGCGGTACCCGCTTACCTCCCAGCTTATTCAAGAAAACAACATTCCTGAATTCGGTACGATATCTTATTTCACTTTGCCGTATCCAACGAGCTTGGCGGGTTGCTTACCTACTTCATTTCATAGATAATCTCTACGTTGACTTCAATGGTATCATTCACAACTGTACGTTATATTTCTCGACTATAACGACGCTATCCTTTGCCATGTGGCCTACCTCAAGAATCTCTGCCCTTTCCTCCGAGATTCTTATATCAACACCAAACCTTGGCTTGAAAATGAACATCTTCAACTAACTTGCGTCCTAAGGCTCTCACCCAAATGATGACGACCCCCACTTCCGGCTTACGGAAGAGCAAATGTTCACTTCGATATTTGCCTACGTCGAACATCTCTTCACGAAGATCAAGCCCAAAAAGGTTTTCTTCATGGCTATTGATGGCGTAGCTCCAAGAGCCAAAATGAATCAACAGCGTTCCAGGAGGTATGTGCACATGCAGAATTCAGACTTGCCAGGCGAACCGCTCGATACTATCACCGAAGCTGACGAGTCTACGACTTTTAACAGATTTAGGACCGCAAAGGAGGCCAAAGAGTTGGTAGAGAAGGCTCTTAGGAAGGGAGACAAACTACCAGAAGAGAAAGCGTTTGATAGTAATTGCATTACACCCGGTAAGTGATATTTAGTGAATCCTTGCTTGTTATCTATCAAACGGAATGGATGTCAGGTCCACTCCAGTGGTACCATCTCCTTCCATTGTGCGAAAAATGGAACAAATTAGGCTGCATCTTATATCATCAAAAATGCTGACGTTATTTCCATTGTACATAGGCACACCCTTCATGGCCCGCCTCTCCTTGCAACTCCAATATTACATCAACAAGAAGATTTCAGAAGATTCTAATTGGAGAGGAGTACAGGTTATCCTCTCTGGACATGAAGTTCCTGGAGAAGGTGAACATAAGATTATGGAATACATTCGCCTGAGTAAAGCTCAGAAAGAGTATAATCCGAATACAAGGTGGGTATCTTTAACCCCCTTGGCTGATTACCATGGCTTCTATATGTTTTCTCGAGATTTCATCGAACCTCTACCTTCCCCTCCCTTAAGCTGTTATCGTCCTCCACGTTTCTATACGAACTCACATTTCGATTGAAATAGGCACTGCTTATATGGCCTTGACGCGGATCTCATTATGTTGGGGTTATTGAGTCACGATCCTCATTTTTGCTTGTTACGAGAGGAAGTCAAGTTTGGGCCACAAGCTAAGAAGAAGAGTGGAAGGTTGGTAGCTACTTTTGGTTTCAATAAGATTGTTTATTGATGCCTTTGAAATGGCAGCCTAGAAACGCAAAATTTCTTTCTCTTACACCTTTGCCTCTTTCGGGAGTACCTAAACTTGGAGTTTCAGCCTCTTTGGGATCCGAAAGCCATTCAAATAGACAACGGTGTTGGTTCAAAGGCAACTGCAGATATGACACCGAAGGGCCCTCTTCCATTCGAATACTCATTAGAGCATATTATAGATGATTTCATCCTGCTAGCCGCCTTCGTTGGAAATGACTTCCTTCCTCACTTACCGGACCTGCACATTCATGACAATGCCCTGGAAACACTTTTCGACAAGTATAGGCAGACGCTACCAAAGGCCGGTGAGCAGACTTTTCTGACGTTTCATTTCACCTTTTGTGACGATCCTGAAATGTATTATAGGTGGTTATCTTAACGAGAGTGGTGTTATCAACGTGCGGCGATTACAAATGGTATTAGATGCCCTCGCGGACTTCGAACAGGAAGCATACGAAAAGGAACATTCGGACCTTAATTGGTTTAAGAGCAAGCAACGACCCAAGCAACTGGATGCTCTACAAGAGAAAGGGATAAAAGGGGGCACCAGTCAGTCATCACTAACGCGCCGTTTAGCGTAAACATATTTTGACATACTATTACCCCTATTTAGCCATAACTCGGGACCAACAACAAATGCTCAAGTCGATCGATGAATTTGTTCTCCAAGCCCGCGAAAAAAAAGAACCGTGTATCAGCCGACCAGGATGTCGAAGGAGTCAATCGCCTTTCCTTTGTCAATTCTTTCCCTGCGAGGGATCGGGCATTCTTAACCAGAATAGCCAGTGAACTTCATCTTGAGCTCACCTGGGACGAGTATGATGAACACGATCGTAACTTGGCCGTTCTCAGAATACCGTCATTCCCCAACGGAGATGACGAGAGTAGCGACGAGGAAGAAGGACGTATAGCCATAGATCGCATCTTAGACAAATACAAAAGGATGAAAATTTTAGAGGACGAGGGTACTTCCGAAGAGCGATACGACGCTGCTCTTAAGGAAAAAATGGATCGATGGAAAAGAGAATATTATCGGGTACGTGGTTTTCACCTATCCTGAGCTTATGCAGCTCAATCGTGCGGTATATATTGGTCTCTACGGCCGTTCTGATCATTCAACATATATAGGAGAAGCTCGAAATTAAATATGATGATAAGGAAGCCGTCGAAAAACTCGCTTATCGTTACGTTGAAGGGCTTCAATGGGTTATGCACTACTACTACAATGGCGTTGCTTCCTGGGGTTGGTTCTATGACTACCACTATGCACCGCGGATATCGGGTAAGCAAGCCGTTCATTTATTATAAGGTCCCTAACATGGATAAAGACCTCAAGAACGTGGATAAGATGACTTTCAACTTTACCTTGGGTGCTCCTTTCAAGCCCTTCGAACAACTTATGGGTGTCCTTCCCGAGGCTAGCAAGGCGCTTATACCAGAAGCTTATCAAGTAAGGTTATAAAGTGATAATGTCAACCAGAGCTCATATAACGGCCAGGATTTAATGTATGACCCGAGTTCACCCATTCTGGACTTTTATCCAACAAATTTTGGCACAGATCTCAACGGGAAGAAACAAGAATGGGAGGCTATTGTGAAGATTCCCTTCATTCAAGAAGAACGCCTTCTTCAGGCCATGTCATCTCGAGAACATCGGCTAACCAAGGAAGAACGTAAACGAAACAGCTTTGGGACGAGCTTAGCTTTCACCTATTCTGCGACTACTGAAACCGTTTACCCTTCTTCCTTACCTGGATTCTTCCCCGATATTCATCGCTGCCACTGTATCACGCAGCCTTTCCACCTTCCCACTCTAGACGGGCTACATCTTGTTAAAGGATTATTGGATGGAGTAGGCCTCGGCGTTCATGCAATGGCCGGGTTTCCTTCTTTGGACACACTCCCTCATACCGCTCAACTTTTGCACCACTCTGTCAACGTTTTCCAACAAGACAGCAGAAATCAATCCGTAGTGTTATTCATTAAGAACTTGTGGGATGGAAGAACATCAATTTCTATCGCCGAGCAACTCATCGGAAATAGAATATACTATAACTGGCCATTTTTGCAAGAAGGAATGGTTGTTGCTGTTTCTGACTCACACTTCCGTTACGAATATCAAGCCTTCGGAAAGACATTCAAGGTCGCAGGCTCACAACATAGTCATGCAGGACTTAGTACCTGGTCACGAAACGCAGAAGGTCATGAATCTCGGTATTCGAAGCGGTTTGGTGTCATTATTGGGGATGTAGACATATTGGTGCACATCCGTCCTCTAAAAGGTTGGTTGAGTTAATCAAGGCGGTTACGTGTTGAATGCTTATATACCATTAGGATTGAAAAGGCTCGAAAATGGAGCGTCCGTTAAAGACTGGGAGGATGTAGACAAAGAAACGGATATACCCGTTCAATTGACAGTCAAGGAGGTCAACTTTGAAGACGAAAGATTCAAGGAACAGCCTGCACCTCCGCTTACTGAAGAATATCCTATTGGCACCACTGTATTCTTTCTCGGAGAGCACGCATACGGTGTCGTCGCTCAGGTTCACGAGATCGTGGGCGAAACTTTATCGGTCACATTAGCGGTATGAGCACACTCGTTGAAAAGTAGCATGGTTGCTCATCAATCGATTATTTAGTACTTTCCAGGTGAAAAGGCCGAAAATGAACAATTCCGAGATGTCATAACTTCAGTACCACCTCTCGACTATTATCCATCCTATAACGTCGCCAGCATGCTCCACATAACAGGTCTGGCTGTATCAAGGATTACCTCTAGTTTGATGGTCATCCTCAATGATGGAACCAAGGTTAATCTTGGCCTGAGTCTCAAGTTCCAGGGGAAAGGTCTCAAAGTTCTGGGCTATACAAAAATGGAAGACCGTGGTTGGGAATACAGTGCAAAAGCGTTAGAGCTGTTGCGAGAGTACAAAGCGGCATTCCCCGAACTGTTCAAGAAGCTGGACAACCGTGGGGACGGTGAGAAATTTTGTATCGTGACCAGTAGCTGTACTCACGATACGAAACGACTAGCGATGATGAAAGCTGGTGATCTTTTCCCTGGACCGGACGCAGACCAGAAGGTCAAAGAAATCAAAACTTGGTTGGCAGAGAAAGGTGTTAAAGATTTGGAACCCGTTCCCCTAAGCACGGAGACGCTCGAAAAGGTGCGCGATACTGTGCTTTTACCTCACCTACTAATACTGTCTCGTCACCTGTAGGAGACGATCGAGAAAATTGAAGCTTTGGCGGATTCGTTAAGCTCAAAGCGTTCCAAAGATGCAATCAAGAAAGCAAAAGTACAGGGTATACCAAGAAAGGTGGTTTTGAAGCCAGCGCATGTGGCATCGAAGCTACAAGATCAAGAATTCAAGCTCGGCGACCGTGTGATTATGGTCCAAGATTCGGGAGGAGTTCCCCTATGCTACAAAGGTGTGGTAGTCGGACTCCTTGACAAGATGATCGATGTAGTATGGGATCATGCCTTCATCGGTGGTACGAAACTTGGCGGAAGGTTCGTCGTCAACACTCTACCCGAAAACGTCACTCACATGTGTTAGATGTTCCGAATATCGAGGGGCTACCTGCTCAGCAAATTCCTGCCTGAACTTGACCAATCGGCAATTTGTAGTTTCTACTACTTCGCAACCTGCGTCCCAGACTGTCCCGGTGCACTTGGTCAACGCTTATGGCCATCGCAGTGGTAGCAATACTCCCCGCGGTGGCCATGCCAATGGGAACCGCACACCACCTATTAATTATCCTCAAGCAAGAGGAAGGGGGTCACCTACCCCTCGTATCATGACGAATCCCAATCGCGGGCGAGGCGGGATGCCTCCTGCCAATCACGCAATTCAAAATGGTACACCGGCCACTAATCCCAACCAACCAGCACAAATTCAAGATGATCAGCATCAACCTCCGGCAGTTAACCTCTTTCACAGTGCGAGAGGTCGTGGTTTTAGAGGGCGTGGACCGGTCATTAACCGTGGCAGGGGTGGATTACAGCAGCCCATACCAGCCCTACAGCAAGGAAATCAAGGTACGAACGATAGGGGACGAAGTAGCCCTCGAGGAAATGGTCCGTCGGATGGAGGACGAGGAAGGGGGAGAGGCGGTCGTGGTGGTAATGGAGGAAATGCACATCAACGAGGGCAGAGCTCGAATACGACAGTTCCATCGTAGATAAAGGGGCATCGTGCCTATTCTATCCTCTACTGCATTTGCTCATATCTCACACGGACTTTTGCCATACATTGTCGCGTCTTTCGTGTATTGCATGGATGTAGCTTATTTCTCTTGTACGAGTTGTGGACTCTTCGCATGTATTTTGTAGGAGGGCAATTCAGTTGGCATTACATCCGTTAAGAATGACTCTTAATAGCGATTCAGTACAAATCAAGTAACTACTTAGTATAAAACCATATCAACTGTTTAGGACCTCGTGAAGTAGTACTCGAATTTGATGTGGTTACGATAGTAGCCGAGAGCTAGAAGGAGTACCATGAGAGGCGCGATGGTCTTGAGCCGACTCAGCAGCGTTCTTCTCCCGTCCTTATTGAAGGGCAAAACGAGAGGAGCGACAGAAGCCATCACCATCTTATATTTTGTATTCTGAAAGATGATTTATCAGATGTGGCAGAGATGGGAGAAAAGATTTTGAAGACGTACGTTGTAAGGAGGATAGCGGAAGCTGAGGAACCTTTCGGCCCTATTTCAGACGTTTATTAGTTGTGAATGAATCTATAGAGAGGTCAACAAACCAGGTGGGCACATCTAGGCTGGCTCTAAAGTGAGTGAACGTATCGAATCCCCATTTGCCATGATATTGCCCATCTGAAGATGAGATATTAGACTCCTGTATGCTTCAATCGTGACTATAAATGTAGTTAACTCACATCCTGATG